GCCATGGGATTAGCCTGGCCAAGGGCCCAACCACATGCAGTTGTGAATACCGCAGTTGTAGGTATCGTTTTTGGTGGAGCCCCCTTGTAGGGACACGAAACGCTGTACCGGGCGGGGGGGGCGCATGCGGACTGCGCCAATCGGACCCTCGGTGGAGCCCCCTATGGGGCCACGGAACGTTGTACTCGGTGGGGGAGACGCATGCGGGCTGTGACACTGGGACCTTTGGTGGAGCTCCCTTATAGGGCCACGAAACGCTATACTCGGTGGGGGAGACGCGTGCGGGCTGCGCCACTGGGACCTTTGGTGGAGCTCCCTACGGGGCGACGAAACGTTGTACCTGGTGGGGGAGACGCATGCGGGCTGCGACACTGTGACTTTTGGTGAAGCTCCCTACGGGGCCGCGAAGTGCTGTATTGGGTGGGGGGGACGCATGCGGGCTGCACAATTGGGGCCTTCGGTGGAGCTCCCTATCGGGCCGCGAAACGTGTGAGGGGTGTGCCAAAGGGAGGGGGGGGTGACGGGAAGAGGGAGGAGGGAGGAGGGGGGAGGGAGGAGGGGGAGGAGGATAAGAGGATGAACGAGGGGCGCTGCCTCCTCCAAACGGGGACCCATCACCACAGGATGGTTGGGAACAGCAAGGGATAGCAAGGATGACCAAGGGAAAGCAGCCAATAGCCATTCTAGCTCAAGCCACTTTGGTTAGAGTAGTTTTCGAGCAAGGGCTGTTTGGCAGTTGCTCCGCTCTCGCCCGTTGGCGGTGCCTCGTCCATCGAACGGGATGGCTCGCCTGATTGCCGTGCTGATCGTGGTCGCGGTCGCCTCGACTCTCACGTCTTCGTTCTGTGGATTTGTGGGCAGTCCCTCCACGACTCTGCGCGGATCCACGCGCGAGGTGTGTGTGAGCCAGAACTTCTTCGATCCTTCAGGCGGTGCTGGAGGCAAGCTCCCCGCTTACAAGATCAAGGATCCCAAGGACGTCGAGGCGACAAAGAAGTCCGAGTCATTCTGGGCCCTGGTCAGTGCTGTCCTGCTGGGTCTCCTCGCTTTCAAGGTAGCAGCGCCGCAGTGAGAGCGTTCAGCTGCGCTACTTTTCAAACTCAGTTTTGCATGTCGCGGATTTTCAAGGTACCGTAGCCAGAGCGGAATGATTGCTGCAAGCCGCGGAATTTCAAGACATAAAGACCGGAGAAGACTCAACGAGGCGAGCACGGGAAAAAAAGGAGGAATACCAAGGGAAAGCAAAGAAACGCAAGGCAGAGTCAGGAAAAGCAAGGAATATCAAGGAAGAGCAAGGAAGAGCAGAGAAAAACACTGAACATCAAGGAAAAGCGTTGACAATCAAGGAAAAGCAATGCAAAGCAAAGACAAGCACGGACACGCACATACTAGCAATGAACACACGGAAGCGCAAGGAAAAGCAAGGAAAAGCAACGAAGAGCAAGGAAGCACGAGGACAAGCAAGGAAGAGCAAGCCCATGCAAGGACAAACGACAAAGAGCAAGGAAGGAAGAGGGGCGAGGGGGGGGGTTCTCTGGACCTCCCCCGTGGAAGAGCGGAGGGTCGCCGTTTGCCCACCCCGCGCCCCTTCCGGGCGGAGGGGCGAGGGGGTGGGGGGCTTTCCCCCCTCGCCCCGCCCCTTTCGCGCGCCGGCTGGGGAGGGGGGGCCCTCTCCGCCCCCCATGCCTTCTTTTTGTTGGATACCGCTTTAGCAACCCGTGCGGGGTGTGCCGAAGTGGGCGCGGTGCGGCCGTGCGAACGCAGCCACGTGGGCATTCGGTGGAAACCCCTTGTGGGGCCACGCAACGCTAGAGGGGTGTGCCGCCACGGGTGCGGGGCCGCCATGCGAACGCAGCCACCGGGGCCGTCGGTGGAGCCCCCTTGTGGGGCTGCGAACCGTTTGAGGGGTGTGCCGAAGTGGGTGCGGTGCCGCCATGCGAACGCAGACACTGGGACCTTCGGTGAAGCCTCGCATGGATCCACGAAGCGTGTGAGAGGTGCGCCGAAATTGGGGTGGTGCAGCCATGCGAACGCAGCCACTGGGGCCTTCGGTGGAGCGCCCTATGGGGCCACGAAGCGTGTGAGGGGCGTGCCGACATGGATGCGGTGCCGCCACACGAACGCAGCTACTGGGGCCTTCGGAGGAGCTCCATGTGGGGCCGCGAACCGTGTGAGGGGTGCGCCGGCATGGGAGAAGGGAGGGGCGGGGGATGGGCAGCGGGAGGAGTGAGGACGCGGAGCGCTGCCGATCCCAAGCGAGGACCCGACACCACAGGATGGCTGGGAATGAACTGCGCTGGCGGGGTGCGCGTCTCAGTGGTCGCCGCCCTGCCCGTCAGTTCGAGGGGCGGCCAGCGCCGTGGCAATCGCGAGGCAGCTCGCAGCGCTGACTTGGTGACCTTTTGGGCCCTGTCCGCGCTGCTGGCGTTAAATCGGGCACGTCCCTCAACGGGAGGAATATTTAAAAATAGTTTAAAAAATGGTCTGGGGACGATTTTTTTAGCATTTTTTGGGCCATTGGGTATTTTTTGAGTATTTTGGTTTCTCGTCGAAAACTCCCCTGTATAGGGGCACGCCCGACGTCATGCTGGCGCACCAGCAGGACCGCCAGGGGCACACGAAGCCTGCTGGCACCCGCGGCCCGCCCGAGCCGGCAGCCAGCAGACACGGTCGCGCAGGGCGCAGCGCCCGCCGCCCCCGAGCAGGCGCGCGGCTGCGCCAGTGCCTCCTCCTCCTCCTCCTCCTTCTCCTCCTCCTCCTCCTCCTCCTCCTCCTCCTCCTCCTCCTCCTCCTCCTCCTCCTCCTCCCTCCTCCTCCTCCTCCTCCTCCTCCTCCTCCTCCCCCCCCTCCTCCTCCCTCCTCCTCCTCCTCCTCCTCCTCCTCCTTCTCCTCTCCTCCTCCTCCTCCTCCTCCTCCTCCACCTCCACCTCCCCCCCCCTCCCGCTCCCCCTCCCCCTCCCCCTCCTCCTCCTCCTTCTCCTCCTCCTCCTCCTCCTTCTCCTCCTCCGCGTTCATGCCCACAGCTGGGACAACCTGGCGAGGGAGAGACGAAGAAAGGAGCCGAGCAGGCCCAGGAGGATGAGGACGCTTGGGACACATCGGGGGGAACAGGACAGCTTCCATCCCATCACCGCCGCCCGCCGCCCTCATGTTCTTGGAGGAGGTACCGCGCAGATCGCTGCCCTGACCTGGCAGCCCTCGTTTCCCGGCAAGCGCTGTGTGTTTCGCCAGACTTGGCTGCGATCTATTGGCCGAGGATTCGTTTTCGACGCTTCCTCGGTCTCGCGGGCACCACCCTCGCGGCAGAGAGTGCAGTATTCGCGAGGGCGCCGCTGGCAGAGAAAGTTGTGACCAAGGAAGCTGGAAAGGATGAGGGCTGGGGAGCGCGAGGCGGTGGAGGCCGACAAGACTGCTCAGGACAAAGAAAGGGCGGAGGACGCTGAGGAGGCTGAGGGGGTGGTGGCACAAGGGGGACAAGGAGTGGGAGTCGACCTCTGACACCGCTTGTGCCAGAAGCAAGGG